TGATAAAAAAACTGAATAAGAGTCTCTTGATAACCTGTTTATACTCGAGTAAAACAGCCTAGAAACCTACTTGTCTACCAAGACATCCAATCCAACTAAGACTTACCCCTTTACAAAACAAACTATGAATTAACCAATTAATCCCACTAAATAGGTCTCTCATCATTTCAAGGTCCTAAAAAGATTTGAGTATTATGATTTTTACTGTAGGCCTATACACATATACAAGGAAAAATAGCCCATTGTTATACCTCACACCTTTGGGTATTTGTTAACTAAGGTTATGTAGCCCACAAAATCAACCGATCAGAGTGGCGCAGCGGAAGCGTGGTGGGCCCATAACCCACAGGTCCCAGGATCGAAACCTGGTTCTGATAAAAGAGTGGTTTCCGCTTGAGTGGTTTCCGCTTGTTCTTTTGCTCTACCTATTTTTACATTTATCTTGTTTTTTGGTCATTTCCAAATCTGCTTCTTTTTCTTTTCAACAACACAAGCGCTTTTCGAAGCAATTGGTGCGTGTGTGTCCATATGTATAAATTTAGGAAGGTTGAAAAACCTCCCATGGGACTTCCAGTAGCCCTAAAATTCAATGGTTAATCTAAGGGAAACATGGACAATCTTTTTAGGGTTCATCATGTGATCGTTCTTTCGCCTACTCGGGTTTAAGCTGAAGGGGCAACTGTGCTGATATTTATGAAATCAACAAGAAATCTCCACGAAATCAACATAAACTTTTCAGAGAGTAGAGAGAGAGTAAACAATGACGATGGCTTAACTAATACATTGATTGAATCTCAAATCTTCATGAATCAACCAGAAAGTATTCAAAGAGTCGAGAGACAAGAACTGTGACGAAACCTTTTTTTTTCTTTTTCAATAGTTTTGTAAGAACTCATTACAATATCATTACATAATTGATAATTGACAGTTGAACTAATAATTTTGGTTATTAGACTTCACTAATCACAATAAACCCTAACTGGCCAAGAGTGCCGTTACCAGGTGTAGTCCTCCAAGGCTCTAACAAATCTAGCCATATCAGTTTATGATATGCTATCTATGAATTCTTCTTTTGATTAAGATAAATAATGTTGGTATTCAAAGTTTACTAACTCAATACCAATATACGTGGGTGATAAGTTTACAAACTCTATCACACCTCTCACTTTGCACTCTCAATAAAATTGGACAAACAAAAAGGAAAGAAGTAGCAAGCTTGGTGATAACAAACACTTTGAAATATTAGAAGAGTTTACAACTCTTAAAGCTTACAAGCTGAAAATGAGAATGGGATTGGAATGGAATTGAATTGGATGATTCTAAAGCCTAGCAAGAAGGCCTATTTATACAAAACAGAAATTGATAAACAATACAACAACACTTGCAATGAATGATGGTGTTTACCATCTTTACACCCTTTCAAACACATGCAGCAACTTTGGATAGTTGGCACACACATGCATTGCATTATTCCAGGTTGGAATCAAACCTTTCGGCTAGCACACAGTAGCTCACATCTTTGCTGTCTTTCAACACACTTTCAGCTGGCACATGGAGGAAACTTTAGTCTTTGTAGTTGCAGCAAGTGTGAATACAACCTGTAAAGAAACTAACAGCTAGCAGCTGCCATTTACAACCTGTTTTGATTTGAATTTCCAACACACCTCCTCAAATCAAAACGCCTTCATTCCTAGCATTTCACGTAGCAGCCAGAATGATTCAACTGGCAGGGGCTTTGTGAAGATGTCAGCCACTTGTTCCTTGGTGTGACAATAGACAAGTTCGATTGTCTTTTGCTTTACATGGTCATTTAGAAAATGGAACCTGGTATCAATGTGCTTGCTCCTTCCATGTTGAACAGGATTCTTTGCAAGCTTGATTGCAGACATGTTATCCACATGAATCACAGTCGATTCCACTTGTGGATGACACACTGCCTTCAACAGATTTCTTAACCAAATTGCCTCACACACGGTTGAGGCTACAGCAACGTACTCGGCTTCACACGATGACAAAGCAACAATTGATTGCTTCTTTGAAGTCCATGAGAAAGCTGTTGATCCTAGAAAAAACACAAAGCCAGTTGTGCTTTTCCTTTCATCTTGGTCACCTCCCCAATCACTATCTGAATAACCAAATAATTTTGCATCTTCATCAAAATTATAAAACAGACCATAGTTTAGAGTACCTCTTATGTACCTCAAAATTCTCTTGGCGGCTAGCCAATGAGACTCCCTTGGTGTTTCCATGTACCGACTCACGAGTCCAACACTATAAACTATATCAGGTCTTGTGATTGTAAGGTACCTTAGGCTTCCAACCAAGCTTTTGTACACGGTTGAGTTTACAAACTCACCTTCTCCTTCCTTGGACAGCTTCAATCCAGTTGCAATTGGAACGTTGACAATATTGCACTTGTCCATATTGAATTTCTCCAATATATCTCTCATATACTTTTGTTGAGAGATGTAGATACCGTCACTTTCTTGCTTCACCTCTATGACAAGAAAGTATGACATTAATCCATTGTCAGTCATCTCGAATTCACTGAACATGGATTGCTTGAACTCACAGAACATTGCTTCATTGTTTCCTGTAAACAACAAGTCATCTACATAGAGACAAATAATTAAGAACTCCCATTTTTTCACTGTTCTTCATGTAAACTGAATGCTCATATAGACATTTCTGAAATCCATTTTGGTGAAGGTAGATATCAATCCTTGAGTTCCAAGCTCGTGGTGTTTGCTTGAGGCCATACAAAGCCTTCTTCAAACGATACACCTTATCTTCTTCTCCTTATACTTGGAAGCCTTCCGGTTGTTCCACGTACACTTCTTCCTCAAGAACTCCATTAAGGAAGGTTGACTTGACATCTAGTTGATAAATTTTCCATTTATGATGAGCGGCAAGAGAGATTAGCAATCTTACCGTGTCAAGTCTTGCAACTGGAGCATAGACTTCATCATAGTCCACTCCATACTTCTGCTTGTAGCCCTTTGCTACAAGCCTTGATTTGTACCGATCCACACTCCCATCTGCAGTGCGTTTGATCTTGTACACCCACTTGACACCAATAGCCTTCTGATTTGGTGGGAGCTTTGTCAACTCCCAAGTGTCATTCTTCTCGATGGCATGGATTTCTTCCTCCATGGCTATTCTCCAACGATATTCTTCCACAGCTTTATTGAATGAGAGAGGCTCGTGGTCTGCATACAAGCAGAAAAGGTTGGTTTCTTCTTTTTCTTCTTGTCCATATATCTCGGTGAGACTTCTTAGCCTCACTGAAGTTGAGGAGCTGCTTTCTTCACTAGATGCAGGACTACTCCTTGCAGTTCTGTGCAATGGAGTTGTTGTGGTTGTTTAAGCAGGTTGTTGCTCAACAGGTGGTACAACTTCTGGTTCTTCAAAATCAGTGGAGACGATCTTCTCTTTACTGACTTCTTTGTTGTTCCACTTCCATGCCTCTTCTTCATTGAAGATGACATCTCTACTAACCACTAGTTTTCCAGTTAGTGGGTTGTAGAGCTTGTATGCCTTGGACTCTTCATTATAGCCCACAAACACACACTTTTCACCTTGATCATCAAGCTTCCTTCTCTTGGCTTCTGGAACTTGAGCATATGCAACACACCCAAAAACTCTTAGGTGTGCAACATTCGGCTTGTATCCACTCCAAGCCTCTTGTGGTGTCATCTTCTTGACACTCTTTGTTGGACATCGATTCAACAAATAAATCGAACAAGCTACAGCTTCTGCCCACAATTCTTTTGGCAAATTCTTCTCCTTAAGCATGGACCTTGTCATGTCAAGGATGGTTCGATTCTTTCTTTTGGCTATCCCATTTTGCTGTGGGGTATAGGCAGCAGTCAGTTGATGCCTAATTCTTTGCTCCTTGCAGTATGCTTGGAAAGCATTGGAGGTGTACTCTCCACCTCTATCTGATCTCACAGCCACAAGCTTGTGGTTGCTTTCAGCCTCTGTGAGTGCCTTGAACCCCTTGAAGATTCTTAGGGCAGCAGACTTCTCATTGAGAAAATAAACCCAAGTCTTCCTACTAAAATCATTAATGAAAGTAATAAAATACCTATTACCTCCATAAGACATGGGATCTAATGGACCACATATATCTGTGTGTACCAACTGCAGTGGTGCCTTTGCTCTCCATGTATCACCAACAGGGAACGATAGTCGTGCTTGTTTTCCAAGCACACAACCTTCACATACTTGGCGTGTGGCTTCAATCTGGGTAGACCACGAACCATTCCTCCACTTGACAGCAACTTTAGGCCATTGAAATGAAGATGGCTATACCGAAGATGCCATTTCCATGACTCATCTTCCATTACACCGATGTTGCAACTCTCAATCTTTGTGTTCAACTTCAACGGGAACATTTGGTTCTTTGACATGTGAACACGTGCAATAAGTTTTCTCCTTGCATTCCTGAGAGTGAGAAACATATCCTCCATATGTATAATATACCCTTTCTGGAGCAGTTGACCAATGCTCAGAATGTTGCTCTTCATACTTGGTATGTAGTAGGTATCGGAGATGTATTCTTCTCTACCATCCTTTTGGATGATCTTGATCTTCCCTTTGCCTTCAACTGGCAGCTTTGAGGAGTCACCAAGACTCACAGATCCATATGCCTCATTTTTTAGTTCGGCAAAAAACTCTTTCTTTCCACACATATGGTTGCTTGCACCAGAGTCCAAATACCAAACATCTTGTTGGCTATTGGAATCATGGTGTGCTAGTAAGACTGTAAATTCCTCGCCAGCATTTCCACTTGATTCTGCCATGTTGACATGCTCACCATTTTTATATGAACATTCATTGGCATAATGTCCATATTGCTTGCAACTGTGACACTGGATATGCGTCTTTCCTCGAGTAGATTTCCATTCTTGAGACTGACCTCGATTTTCTGCATAGCCTCGACCTCTTCCTCGGGCTCGTCCTCGGCTACAGTTGGATGAACTCCCACGACGTGAGTTTCACTGCCCACGACCTCCATTTGGTTTATCAATATTCAACTTTGACTCCAAAGCTTGCTCTAGCGTTGTGGGGCTTGCATTCTTCTGAATGCGTTGCTTGTGAACTAGGAGGGATCTTAGTAGCTCCTCTACACTCATCGCCTCCAAATTCTTGGATTCCTCAATAGCAGTCACCACATGCTCAAACTTAGATGTGAGTGACCGGAGTATCTTTTCCACAACTCGTACTTCATCGAGTCTCTCGCCATTTCTCCTCATCTGATTTACTATCACAATGAGCCTTGAGTGATAGTCGGAGATGCTCTCCCCTTCATTCATGTGAGTAGTTTCAAAATCTGCTCGAAGTGACTGTTGTTCGTGGCGGGAATTACCGTCGAGGATGTTTCCTGGCCGACGAGCACACAGCTTCCCGAGAGGTCGGCGCCAGTTGGTGCTTTCTGTCGGGCTTCTGCTTCCTTGGCGGGCTTGTCGGGCAAAGCTTGTCGGGCAAGGCTTTGTCGGACAAGGCTGAAAGAGAAAGACAGAGTTAACTTTGAAATGTGCCTTTGTGGAGCCTTAGGTGTAGGCTTTGAGGCTCACAATCAAGATTAACTTTTAAGTGCTCAGGCGTGCCACTGCCATCTTCAGCATGGCAGATGTAAAACGGATGTTGAGTTCTCATTTTATATATACCCGAGAGACTATATTAGTTATGACATGTGCCTTTGTAGGGCCTTAGGTATAGGCCTTGAGGCTTCCCGTTAATAACTAACTTTAGTACTCGAATATATAAGGTTAGTGTTCTTGGTTATATGAGTTTTATAACCATTATACTTCTGATTACCTGAGCCCGAGGAACAGAATGAATCCAAATAGGTGCCTTTGTGGGGCCTTAGATGCAGGCCTTGAGGCTTCCCATCAGAATTCATTCTATACTCAACGTTCTAGCCCGAAGAACAGAATGAATCCAAATAGGTGCCTTTGTGGGGCCTTAGATGCAGGCCTTGAGGCTTCCCATAAGAATTCATTCTGTACTCAAACGTTCTATGGTCATCATAATATAATAGAAATAAAACTAAGTGATATGTCGATTACTTGCGCCTCAAGTAACTTCGGAATTCTTGTTTATCAAAGCTTGTCGTGGATGGGTTAAGTCCACATAAGGTTCTTTTTTATGCCTTGAGGTCAAGGACTTTTAAGTGATCAAATCTTACATGCCCGAGGGCTTAGAACTTAGATCTGACTTGAACTATGAAAACATATTCAAATCGGATTCAAGCGCTGAGAGAGTCTTTTAATAGCCATATTACTAGAAATAACTTGAATACAACTTGTAGTATACAACATATTGCTAGGCTAATGAATGAAAAGACAAAAACAAAGAGGATCGGGCAAGGCTGATCGTCTTGCAACTTCCTATCTTTGTGGTTTATCAGGGGGTTTGAAAGCTTAGAAAAGGGGTTGGGAAATGAGTTTATAGAAAGAAATCGATACTACAGCAAGAGTTGAACAGGGTAGCAGAGCTATTACAAAGGGTTTATCCCGAAAGGGATGAAGGCTTGGGCTGACTACAGCTTCGTTTTGAAGGCAAATCTGGCTTTGAGCAGAGTTTGTGCTTGTATTTTTTGGTTTGTTTGAGTGTCATTATTCCTGGTTTCTCTTTCTTCTTTTATAGACAACTCGGCTTGGCCTCTTGTAGCAGCAACCTTGCCCGAATGCAGCTTGAAGGGTAGTGACTCATCAGCTATTTTACTTGAACTGCCACTATAAAGTACTTTATGGGTTGTATAGCTGGTCGTCTATACCACTTGGCCTTTGGGTAGGTGAGCAAGTGGTTCACATGGTCTGCACCTAGTCAGAAACGGGTTTCTCCTGCCTTCTGGACTTCGGCTGGGCTTTGACTGGGCTTTTGAGTTCCTCTTCCTTTTAGGCTGCCTTTTGGGCCAACTCCCCCTGAGCCCAAAGTTCAAGTTTTGATTCAAACAGTGCCCCATTCAATTGATATTTAGCCTGCAATTCTAGGCGCCAATATTGATTGAATAGCTGCATGCGCCTGCACCCTTGCTCTTGGAACTTGTATCTTCTGGTTGAGATTAACGCCACCCAGAGTCTCTCGATCTTCCCACGACCCTTGAACTACTTTATGATATTCTTTATAAATTTCAGCTTTCTCAACAAATCATCCTCGATCTCATCTTTTATCCACCCAAGTATCTCTGCCTCCTGAGTTTTCTCTTAAACACTGTGAAATGAGTTCTTCTGATTTCAAGTGGGATTTCCTAAAATTCCCTTTTCGTGAGAAAAAGAGTTTTCATCAGATAACCACTATCTTCAACACCTTTGGTCAAACATCCCGCTATCCCCAACACCCTTGGTCAGGCGGTTTCCTCACGAAGGCTTGCCTTCCTGCTCGCTGTCGTGATAAGTTAGGCTTCACCATCATATATGGTGATGACTCTATCTGAGGATCCTCTACCAGGCGCGTCTTGGCCACACAACCCGATCACCTGATCGGGTCTTATCTAGGAAGACATCGGATAACCAGCTGAAAACAACATTGCATCCAGAAGGAATGGAATGTAATACGTCGGATTTGAGTTTGTTGTAAATTTCACCAATTTGTCGAAATGAAATAAACATTATTTGCAACTTTTTGTCTTTCTGTCTTCTTGAATGATTGGTGAACATACACTGTACAATGGTATCTCGAAGCCTGCTTTACCTTGCATCCTCTTCAATGTAACAATCTCTAACGTCCTATAATGTAGGACAATATTTTTTCAAGAATTTAACATTAATGGGATGCTTCTGCCCCTTCCCTTCAAGGTCCGCCAAGTAGTATCCTCCCTTGTCCAATACTCGACTAATAATGAAAGGACCTTCCCATGTCGGGCTCCACTTTCCAAAGCCTCTAAGCTGAGCTCCTAGAGGGAGGACTGTCTTCCACACTAAATTTCCCTTCTTGAAAGACTTCATCTTCACCTTTTTGATGAACCAGGAATCCCAAGAAGTTGCCCGCTCTCACTCCAAACGCACACTTCTTTGGATTCATCTTCAATTTGTGGACCCTCATTCTTGTCAATGCCTGCCTGAGGTCTATCAGATGCTGCTATTCTGTCTTGGATTTCACCATGATGTCATCAATATACACCTCCATATTATGGCCAATCAGATCATGAAAGATGGCATTCATTACTCTTTGGTAGGTTGCACCAGCATTCTTGAGCCCGAATGGCATGACCAGATATTCATATGCCCCCATATGCCTAGGGCACCTAAAAGCTGTTTTATGTATATCTTCCGGAGCCATATTTATCTGATTATACCCGGCATTTCCATCCATAAAAGATAAGACTTTGTGCTTTGCTACTGCATCTATGGATAGATCGGCCATGGGCATGGGATACTCATCTTTTGGTGTAGCGCCATTAATATTTCTGTAATCAACACAACATCGCACTGCTTTTGTTATAGCTTTTAAAATGGGTACAATGTTGGCTAACCACTCCACATATTTGGTTGGCCTGATAAATCTGGCTTTTACTAGCCTCTTAATCTCTTCTTTGACCTTCTCTTCTATCTCCTTCGACATCCTTCGTGGTGCTTGCTTAACCGGCTTATATCCTTCCTTGATGGGCATTCTATGTTCCACCAAGGTTGCATCTAAACCTGGCATCTCAGTATAATGCCAAGCAAAACAATCTTTGAATTCTTGCAAGAGACAGATAATTTTTGCCCGATCCTCACTCTCCAATAAACCACTGATTTGTATTGGTCTTGGATCCTCCTTTGTTCCTAGCTCAATCACTTCCAAAGGATCTTGGACCTCTGGTGGTGGCTTATCAGGTTCTGCACATAAAAATTCGACTAGCTCCAGGCTCTCGGGCAGGTCGTCTGGCCCATCTAGGTCATATATGCACTCGGCCATTTGAATGGCCCTTTCCAATTCTTCTCGACAAGATTCCTCCTTGCTTTCATCTTGGCTGGTTGAAGCTCCTACCTGCCATTCCTGCTCTTCTTTGTCTAAGAGCTCATTTTCTTGTCTTCTTCCTTTCCCATACATTAACAGTCTTTTAATCAGGGATCTGACTGCCATTTTCTGATCCTTCTTTTTTTGTTCTATCATTGATGACGTAGGGGTGTTGGGATGATACAAGGTCTATCCCACTCCTCTTTAGTAAGGAGCATTCCTTGTTCTAGAAGCTTTTGGGCCGTCACCTTGGTATGACAACCGTTCTCATCTGCTCTTGAACATTTCAAGAATCCTACGTTGGGATTGTAGAAACTTGCTTCCGCCACATTAGCTGTGGGAAGAAATGGCCGTGATTCGGCCTCTACCATCTCCCAAAAGCCTGGCCCTTCTGTTTTTGCCTCATGATAAACAACCACTTGTTAATGTAGAGTGGAGGGTATAGCAAGACTTTGGTGGATCCAATCTCTTCCGAGTAAGGCTCCATAGGTGGATGTGCAGTCCACCACAAAGAATGCCAGCATGATCTGTTTAGACCCCAAATCTACTTCTAATGGCAATATCTCATGAGTCTTGGTGATAGCGCCCGAGAAACTAGAAACTGTGAGGTCTGTAGGAATAAGATCCTCTATGCCTCTTCCTAACTTTTTCATCTGCTTGGCCGGCAGTACATTAACAGCTGCTCCTCCATCAATCAAAATCTTTTTGAAGGGCACTCCCTTCAAATGAGCTGTCACATATATGGGCTTCAGATGATTGGCAAGTGAAATGTTCGGGCGGCTGAACACCATCTTGTCTGTATATATCCTTAAAGGACCCTCCTTGGGTGTTTCAGATGATTCAACTTTTCCTGATTCTCTTTCTTCAGCTATCTCCACATTGACATGAGCCATCATTGATTCAGTTGCTACGTAATCCCCTTCCATGGTGGCAGGTTGATTTGGTTGGGCACCAAACATGGCGGATAGCACATACGCCATGTTTATATGAAAGTTGCTAGGCTCCGACAGTTCTTCTTTCTTGCTCCCAATCTGGTCATGAACTCATCCAACCAAGCCATTGCATCTAGTGGAAGCAGTGGTTCTGGTGCCCCCTCTAGTTGATTCACACCTGAATATGATGTTTGCTTTGGAACTTCCCTGAAAGGATCCACCACTGACAGAGAAGGTGGTTTCCTTTCAGGTGAGACAGTTCCAAAACAAATAGGCTGCTCTGTCTTCCATCCGGGAGTTGGCACCATAACCATATCTTCTTGAGCTCTCCTCAAGATTCTATATTTCCCAGGGTGTAGGCTTTGTGGCACATGGTTTCCTTCGCCTTCAGTCTTGCTATTAGCCTTTTCTACCTTCTTCTTACTCCTCCAGCGGAGCTGACTACTCCCCCATATGACGTTTTCTCCAACTTTTGATTTTTGGATGCTTCAGATGTCGCAGGGGTCTTTAAGGAGTTCATGTAGGCTTTGTGTTGCATTTGGACCCTTCTGACCATGGAAGCTCCCATTTGTTTAACAGGCTGCCCATTCTTTCCAACCACGTACCATTTTCTCCCAAGGCGGGCAGGGTTATCTCTCTGGACAAGATTTGTTTCCTATCATTCCTCTTTGCTTCTCTTCCCGTATGGCCGTACTGAGAATGCTCTACACCCTTCCCTTTTGGCCTTTTAGCTTCCTCATCTTCTGCTTCCTTAGAAACCTCATGATTTCGAAATACTTCTGATAAAGCTTTTGGTTGGGAATCACCTCCTAACCGCTGAAAAACACTCTGGGAAGTGTCTCTTCCTGTTACCCGCCTGGCTCTTTCGCGGGCTTCTTTTCTTTTTTCTTCTTCCTTCTTCCTGATCAGCTCATGATCCATGAGGATTCATGCGGGTGGTATTTCGAGCTCACACTCGCATTGGCATTTGCTGCACAGAACTATCCCTTTGATTATGGCCGCTTTTGGATGTTCAGGCAACCTGACCACCCCTTTTATGGGTTTGTCAGCCAATCTTCCTTCTTCTACTTCCCTTGTAACTTTTTCTTTCCCCTTCTCAGCCCATGCCATACTAATCATATTCACTGGGGCCTCTGAGAAGGGATCTATAGTTTTGTCTGCCATTGCTTCTTCCGGCTGACTGGTTTTAACTTTCTCTTTTTCCCTATCATCATTTTCCCCAAACTGAGGTAAGGATGTAGGAATAGTTGGTCTTTTAACCATGTTTGCTTCTTTTCTGAAGCATGTGGAGGCGTTCTCCAATCTTTGCAACATCTGTAAAAAGGTAGTTTGCAAATCTTCTAGCATGTTTGACATATGTCTTTTGCTCAAGTAAATCCCAATGGGCATGCCAAAACTATGTTCGTGGCGGGAATTACCGTAGATGATGTTTCCTGGCCGACGAGCACACAGCTCCCCGAGAGGTCGGCGCCGGTTGATGTTTTCTGTCGGGCTTTTGCTTCCTTGGCGGGCTTGTCGGGCAAAGCCTGTCGGGCAAGGCTTTGTCAGACAAGGCTGAAAGAGAAGGACAGAGTTAACTTTGAAAGGTGTCTTTGTGGGGCCTTAGGTGTAGGCCTTGAGGCTCACAATCAAGATTAATTTTTAAGTGCTCAGGCGTGCCACTACCATCTTCAGCATGGCAGATGTAAAACGGATGTTGAGTTCTGATTTTATATATACCCGAGAGACTATATTAGTTATGACAGGTGCCTTTGTAGGGCCTTAGGTATAGGCCTTGAGGCTTCCCGTTAATAACTAACTTTAGTACTCGAATATATAAGGTTCGTGTTCTTGGTTATATGAGTTTTATAACTATTATACTTCTGATTACCTGAGCCCGAGGAACAGAATGAATCCAAATAGGTGCCTTTGTGGGGCCTTAGATGTAGGCCTTGAGGCTTCCTATCAGAATTAACTCTATACTCACACGTTCTAGCCCGAAGAGCAGAATGAATCCAAATAGGTGCCTTTGTGGGGCCTTAGATGCAGGCCTTGAGGCTTCCCATCAGAATTCATTTTATACTCAACGTTCTAGCCCGAGGAACAGAATGAATCTAAATAGGTGCCTTTGTGGGGCCTTAGATGCAGGCCTTGAGGCTTCCCATCAGAATTCATTCTATACTCAACGTTCTAGCCCGAGGAACAGAATGAATCCAAATAGGTGCCTTTGTAGGGCCTTAGATGTAGGCCTTGAGGCTTCCCATCAGAATTCATTCTGTACTCAAACGTTCTAGGGTCATCATAATATAATAGAAATAAAACTAAGTGATATGTCGATTACTTGCGCCTCAAGTAACTTCGGACTTCTTGTTTATCAAAGCTTGTCGTGGATGGGTTAAGTCCACATAAGGTTCTTTTTTATGCCTTGAGACCAAAGACTTTTGAGTGATCAAATCTTACATGCCCGAGGGCTTAGAACTTAGATCTGACTTGAACTGTGAAGACATATTCAAATCGGATTCAAGCGCTGAGAGAGTCTTTTAATAGTCATAGTACTAGCAATAACTTGAATACAACTTGCAGTACACAACATATTACTAGGGTAATGAATGAAAAGACAAAAACAAAGAGGGTCGGGCAAGGCTGATTGTCTTGCAACTTTCTATCTTTGTGGTTTATCAGGGGGTTTGAAAGCTTAGAAAATGGGTTGGGAAATGAGTTTATAGAAAGAAATGGATACTACAGTAAGAGTTGAACAGGGTAGCAGAGCTATTACAAAGGGTTTATCCCGAAAGGGATGAAGGCTTGGGCTGACTACAGCTTCGTTTTGAAGGTAAATCTGGCTTTGAGCAGAGTTTGTGCTTGTATTTTTTGGTTTGTTTGAGTGTCATTATTCCTGGTTTCTCTTTCTTCTTTTATAGACAACTCGGCTTGGCCTCTTGTAGCAGCAACCTTGCCCGAATGCAGCTTGAAGGGTAGTGACTCATCATCTATTTTACTTGTACTGCCACTATAAAGTACTTTATGGGTTGTATAGCTGGTCAGTCTATACCACTTGGCCTTTGGGTAGGTGAGCAAGTGGTTCACATGGTCTGCACCTAGTCAGAAACAGGCTTCTCCTGCCTTCTGGACTTCGGCTGGGCTTTGACTGGGCTTTTGAGTTCCTATTCCTTTTAGGCTGCCTTTTGGGCCAACTCCCCCCGAGCCCAAAGTTCAAGTTTTGATTCAAACAACTGTAACCTCACTTTCTTGACTCGATCTACTCCTTTGTAGATTGTACTGAGTGTGTCCCATACTTGCTTGCTCGTTGTTGCTTTTGCAACCTTCTCGAACGTTGAATCTTCCAGACCCTGGTATAGAAGATACAGCACCTTCTGGTCTTTCTTTCGTAAGTCCTTGAGAGTGTTCCTTTGTTCTGCAGTATATGCGGCTTCTTGTTCGGCAGTGGGTACAACATACCCACTACTGACTATTTCCCATAGCTCATGTGATCCAAACAATGCTTTGAATTGGATGCACCATCTTTCGTAATTTTCTTTCTTCAATGTGGGAACCTGGAGCTGCACTAAGTTGGACGCCATAACTGCTGCACTTGCCAGAATGGTATTCTGGCTCTAATACCAATTGTTGGTATTCAAAGTTTACTAACTCAATACCAATATATGTGGGTGATAAGTTTACAAACTCTATCACACCTCTCACTTTGCACTCTCAATAAAATTGGACAAACAAAAAGGAAAGAAGTAGCAAGCTTGGTGATAACAAACACTTTGAAATATTAGAAGAGTTTACAACTCTTAAAGCTTACAAGCTGAAAATGAGAATGGGATTGGAATGGAATTGAATTGGATGATTCTAAAGCCTAGCAAGAAGGCCTATTTATACAAAACAGAAATTGATAAACAATACAACAACACTTGCAATGAATGATGGTGTTTACCATCTTTACACCCTTTCAAACACATGCAGCAACTTTGGATAGTTGGCACACACATGCATTGCATTATTCCAGGTTGGAATCAAACCTTTCGGCTAGCACACAGCAGCTCACATCTCTGCTGTCTTTCAACACACTTTCAGCTGGCACATGGAGGAAACTTTAGTCTTTGTAGTTGCAGCAAGTGTGAATACAACCTGTAAAGAAACTAACAGCTAGCAGCTGCCATTTACAACCTGTTTTGATTTGAATTTCCAACAAATAAATCCAAGCATATGATTATCCGGCCGAATAAGTTTATTTAGATCACACAAAAATGTAAACGGGAAGTAAACGGATTAAAACATCCTATAACACAGTGAGGTGTACGAGGATTTATCCATATCTTACAGGGTTAGTACATACTTCTTTAGAACAAATTTACTACGATATTTGCGGTTTTAACTGCACCTTTCATTCTATATTTATACTTTCACAAAAGTACTACCAAGTAATATTTCTGCAGTCTTTGTATGGTAATTATTATTCAGTACTCCAAAAAAGTCATCATGCATTTCTTATAAAAATATATAAGAATTCCTAATACATATCAACTCTCACCACTAAGCGAGTGTTGGAACCTAAATTGATCCTGGTTCCATGGATTGATGGCTGCAAAGTGAAGGAGTGAAGATGAAGCTTCGAAACAGAAGAACAAGGGTTTTAATCCCAAAGGTTAGTTTTTTATTTAAAGCTTTAGTTGTGTAATCAAGTGCCAAGCGCACACTCCAGATTGGATCACTTAAAACCCCAATGAAGGGCTAGGATAAAATCTGGAGAATGGTTAGTTGGATTCATGGTACATGCTTGTCATCAAGAACATTTAGAGATAGGATTGTGAGTTGGCTGTTGATTATTGACTCAAACATGTAGTCAAAGTTCAATTCTTTCGGCTACTTTGTGGTAGTGGGAGACAAACATGCAATTGTGCCTAACTCTTTTTTACTTGATGGTAGGCCTTTGGCCATTGATGTCTTTGAGAAGCTTTTCTTTGGCTATAAAAGAAGAAGCAAGATGCAGCCCGTAGAAGGAGAAGAAATAGGAACAAGGAAGAGAGAAAAATAGCAAGAAGCCATTCGGCATAGAGAAGAATTTTCTCAAATTGTCTTGCTTTGTATTTTTTTTGGTTTTCTCTTCCTATTGTAAGTGTGAGAGCTTAGGTTATTTGGGTCTTTGGGAAATTGAGTGATAAACACTATTGTATGTTCTCATTGATTATAGTGGAATACTCCGTCGTCTCCAAATTGGATGTAGGCATTGCCGAACCAGTATAAATCTTGGTGTTCTTGTTGATAGTGGTTTTATTTTGTTCTGTTTTAATTTTTCACGTACAGTCGAATGCCGCTTCCGCACAACAAGTGGTATCAGAGCCCAGTTCCGTGAATAGTGTTGGCGCTACAGTATCTGTGAACAGTATTGTACCTGTGACCAGTGCCGTATTGTGAATAGTGCCGAGTAGATGGCTGGAGATAAAGATGAATCTGCAAAGAAGGAGTCAGCATCGTCTTCATCCAATAGACATCCAACCACTACTACAAGGTTAGAGGTTGATAAATTCAATGGCTCTAATAATTTTGGTATGTGGCAATGTGAAGTTATGGATGTGTTGTATCAACAAGAGTTGGATATGGTTCTGGAAGATAAACCAGAAGATATTGATGACAAGCAGTGGACGCGAATTAATCTTCATGCTTGTGCTGCTATTCGATCGTTCCTTGATAAGGAGTTGAAATACCCGTATATGAAGGAAACTTCTGCTAAGGAGTTATGGACGAAATTGGAGGAGAAGTATATGACTAAGAGCGCAGAAAATCGTCTCTTCTTGAAGAAGCGACTCTTCCGATTTCAGTATCGTCCAGGTATCTCTATGCACGAACACCTCAATGATTATAATAAAATACTTGCTGATTTAGCAAACCTTGATGTGAAAATTCCTGACGAGGACAAGGCACTATGTTTGTTAAATTCATTGCCTGATGATTATGATCATTTGACAACTACTCTATTGTATGGAAAATCCGAGGTGAAACTTGATGAGGTGTCTGCGGCATTGGTGAATCATGAGTGTCGTAAGAAGGAACTGAAGACTCACAATTCACAAACCCCGAGGCATTTGTTGCAAGGGGTCGAACAGAGGAAAGAAAATCTGGGAAGCGGGGAAAATCTCGTTCAAAGTCACGAGGGAAGTTTCCTGCTAAAGATGAATGTGCTTTTTGTCGCCAAAAGGGTCATTGGAAGAAAGACTGCCCCAAATTGAAGAACAAAGAGAAGGAGAAAGCGGGTTCTGAAGCAAATATTACAAAATCTGGAGATGATGATTTCGAGTTTGCTTTGGCTAGTTCATATGCTGATGGTCACTCCAATGAGTGGATTTTGGATTCAGGTTGCACCTTTCATATGTGTCCCATTCGGGAATGGTTTTCTAATTTCGAGGAGCTGGATGGTGGAGTTGTTTTGATGGGTAATAATAATGCCTGCAAAACACAAGGGATAGGCAAAATCTGTTTGAAGATGCATGATGGAACAGTCAGAGAATTAAGTGATGTTCGGTATGTACCGGATATGAAGAAAAATCTCATCTCACTGGGTGCATTGGAATCCAAGGGTCTCAAGATCACCATGGAATGTGGAGTTCTTAAAGCTGTGTACGGGGCACTGGTGGTGATGAAAGGTACAAGACGAAATAACTTGTATTTCTTGCAGGGGAGTACAGTTATTGGTGGAGCAGCTGTCACCGAAGCTGCTGACGCAGATAGCACAGACACCACGAGGTTATGGCATATGCGTCTTGGGCATGCTGGTGAAAAAGCGTTGCAAGGATTAGGGAAGCAAGGCTTATTGAAAGGTGCAAATGCATGCAAATTGGAATTCTGTGAGCATTGTGTGTTGGGTAAGCAAACTAGAGTAAAATTTGGCACTGCTATTCACCACACTAAAGGCATTCTTGATTATGTTCACACTGATGTTTGGGGACCTTCCAAGAATGCATCTTGGGGAGGTAGCCATTATTTTGTCTCCTTTTTTGATGACTTCTCTAGAAGAATATGGGTGTACACCATGAAGCGTAAAGATGAAGTCTTGAAGATATTCCTGAAGTGGAAAAAGATGATTGAAACGCAAAGCGGTCGAAAGATCAAGACTCTCAGATCAGACAATGGAGGTGAATATAAGTCTGATCCTTTCTTGAAAGTTTGTCAAGATGAGGGTATTGTGAGGCACTTCACGGTTAGGGAGACACCGCAACAGAATGGGGTGGCGGAGCGCATGAACCGTACTTTGCTTGAGAAAGTTCGGTGTATGTTGTCTAATGCTGGATTAGGCAAGGCATTTTGGGTTGAGGCACTCACTTATGCAAGCCATCTCATTAATCGATTGCCAGCTGCTGCGAATGAGGGCAAAACGCCCATGGAGGTATGGTCTAGTAAACCTTGTACTGATTACAAGTTTTTACACATATTTGGTTGTTCTGCTTACTATTATGTCAGAGAAAGCAAGTTGGATCCAAGAGCAAAGAAAGCTTTATTTATGGGCTTTAGCACTGGCGTGAAGGGATACCGACTCTGGTGTCCAGATGAGAAGAAATTTGTTGTAAGCAGAGATGTGACTTTTGATGAGGCTGCTATGGTTAATCATAACAAGCATGAAGGTGAAACTGAAGCGACCGAGACCATGAGTAGCTCAAACAGGTGGAGTTACTGAAGACTCCAGTTGTTCCAGTAAGGTCTGATGTTACAACCACTAGTCCTACAGTTAATTCTGATGATGAGGACGAGGATGATGAAGAGGAAGCACTTACCCAAGAGCCTCCACATCAACAAGACTATATTGCAACCAGAAGATCGAGAAGGGAAATTCGAAAGCCTGCTCGATTTACTGATATTGTGGCATATGCACTTCCTGTTATTGAAGATGATATTCCATCCGCCTACAAAGAAGCTGTCATGAGTTCAGAGTGCGAGTTGTGGAAGAAATCTATGGATGAGGAGATGAAATCTCTTCATAAAAATGAAACTTGGAATCTGGTTCAGTTACCAAAGGGGAAGAAAGCAATTGGTTGTAAATGGGTGTATGCCAAAAAGATGGAATCTTTGGGAAAAGACAATGTAAGATTCAAAGCCAGATTGGTAGCTAAAGGCTACGCTCAGAAGGAAGGTATTGACTACAATGAGGTATTTTCTCCTGTAGTAAAACATTCTTCTATTCGTATTTTGTTGGCTTTGGTTGTGCAGTTTGACCTTGAGTTGGCCCAACTTGATGTCAAGACTGCGTTCTTACATGGTGATTTGGAGGAAGAGATTTATATGTCTCAGCCAGAAGGTTTTAAGGTTGCTGGAAAGGAAAATTGGGTTTGCAAATTGGAAAAATCATTGTATGGCTTGAAGCAGTCTCCAAGACAATGGTACAAACGATTTGATCGATTTATGATCGGGCAAAAGTACACAAGAAGTCACTATTTCGCAAACTACAAGATGGAACCTTCATTTATCTGCTTTTATATGTTGATGATATGCTTATAGCATGTAAGAGCAAAGTGGAGATTGAAAGGTTGAAGACTCAACTAAGTAATGAATTTGAGATGAAGGACTTGGGAGAAGCTCGGAAGATACTAGGTATGGAAATTGAAAGAGATAGAGCGAAGGGCAAGATTAGTCTGTGTCAGAAGCAGTATTTGAAGAAGGTACTACAACGTTTCAGGATGAATGAAAATTCAAAACCGGTTAGTACACCTCTTGCCTCTCATTTCAAACTTAGCGCTTCTATGTCTCCTAAAACTGTTGAAGAGAGTCAGTACATGGCTCAAATTCCTTATGCAAATGTTGTTGGTAGTTTGATGTATGCTATGGTGTGTACTAGACCTGATATTTCACAAGCTGTTAGTATT